GGGGGAGGCGGTGAGTAGTAATAGGGGGGCGGTGAATAACAATTGAATTTAAAAGTGATATTTTTGTTTATGGTGGTTAAATTTGTGATTTGACTCTGAATGCCCCTATGAGGATTCTTTGTAGTGGTGTGCTGAACTATTAAACAAAACGAGTCATTCCGTTAGTGTCAACTCTCGAGCTCCGCTTGTTTCGTTTGATGAATGAGTCGAGTTCGAACTTGTTTAAAGCCTGTTCTCAAAAGTTTTATAGCTTGGATCGACTCGAGTTCAATTCATTAATATTGATAAACGAGACGAGTTTGAACTCGTTTATCAATCCATTTAGTTAATGAGCGAGTTCGTCTCGACTCAATAAAAGCTCTAGCTCAAGTATCACGAGCTTGATTTCGGTTCAACTCGTTTATACTTTATATCTCTAGACACCCCTAAATTGGTACTTGATATTATTTTCATATGTGGCGAACGTAGATCTGAAACTGGTGACTGGATAAACGGCTTTTCAACTTTAAGTTGAGATTTATTGAACTTGAAATAAATTAGTTTTATATAATTTCACTAACATTTAAAAAGTAAGAAACAACCATAGTTATATTTTGAATAAAAACTATAATTACTAATATCATAACTTAATAATAATATCTTGTTATTAGTGTATCACATGAGCTCTAATATTTATTCAATCTAAAAAATATTACAATTTTTTTGAAAACAATTAAGAGTACATGAATTTTTTTTAAATCCATATTCAATCTCAACCTGCAACAAAATACTAATTGAGTACATTTAGGTATGATCAAGAACAAAAATTCTATGGAACCATCGGACGACTCCAGAAGTCAAGAATATATTTCACTTAGACATTTCTTGTTGAAGTCCTGATTTATTAGGAAATTCAACAACGAAATTCTTGAATTAAATATTAATAAGCTTTCATTGGATCGTCTAGCTCATAAATAAATGTCATTCTAGAAAAAAAACTGTAAAAGTTCTCTTTAAGCATCGTATAATGATATATTTATATATGATGTTATCTCTTTTGACATTTTCACTTTCAGTACTATGAAAGTCTCAGTTTGTATAAAATTTGGCATTTCTTTATATCATCAAGGCAAAGTCCTAATTAAGGCATACTTTCTCTTTCTTTGGATGTCTGAGAAAAAAAATAATAAAATAAAATTAAGGCAGTAATTTGATATTTTTCCTGTATATTAATTCAGAACGGGCTGAGTCTAAGTGACAGACTCGCATGTTTCAGTTCAGAACGTGATGAGTTTAAGTGGCAGGCTCGCATGTTTCGAGATTCTATGTGACAAAATTATATGCTTCGTTATTAGCTTCGGTAAATTTTAATTTACTTCCAATCCAAAAATAATTAGGTCCGGACTATCCATAAAATATGTTGATTATTTATGGACATGTTACATGTAACTTTTGTTACATTTGTATAAATGTATTTTAAAAATTAATAACTTTTGTGTTATAAAAGTGAGCATAAATGTATTTTAAAAGTTAATAACTTTTGTATTTTTTATTAGTTATATATATATATAATATATATATCAAATTAATCATCTTTTTATGAATTTCGATTTAACATCCATATTGTATGTATAAAAAAAATAAATTATATTTATTTTGGTAACCATAATAAAATTGTTTTTTAATATTAATTAGAAAAATAAAATTATTTATCAATTAATATATTTATATTTCAAGTAGTTATATTATATAAGTTATAAAAATTATTATAATATAACACATGTAAGTCGCACAAGTAACAAGTGTCATTCTAAAATATATAATATTATATATTTTGTAAAAAAATAAATAAAATTTAAAATAATTTTTTTCATTAATTTAAAAATTTAAAAATAATTTTTTAACAAGTACTTGTGTAATACACGGGTGTTGTACTAGTTTCGGTTTTAAAAGTGACTACGTTAAAAAGACTTAGGCTATGTTTGGTAAAACTAACTGATAAGCTAGCTTATAACTTATTTGTAATTTTTTAGCTTATAGCTTATAGCTTATGACTTATAGGTGAAAAGCTGACTTATATGATAAAAGTGTTTGGTAAAATTAGCTGATAAGCTAGCTGAAATAAAAAATTTAACTAGCTTATTTGAAAAGCTACCTAAAGTAGCTTATGAGATAAGTGTTGATATCAAGATAGAATGATTTGAGGTAAAGGTTAGGTTAAAGAATTCATGAAGTCTAAACCGCGAACTGGATCTTTGACGATACAAAACGGAATATATGACACCTCGGAAATATCATCTCGGTTCTCATACGACGTTCTGGGTAGAACAGTAGATCCTAAAGGTCGTCAAAATAAATTATTGAAACCTCGAAAAGGTCACCTCGGTTGAAGAACAGCTTGTCAGGAAGTCGTAGAAGATTGAAACTCTACCAAAAGGCCGACATCACAGAATGGTACCGACTTCAATCCGACAGAAGTGACGCTTGTCACACAGATAGAGGAGCGCTCATGCTCATCATTGCCTAAAAAGCTTGCCTACGTCATTGCCGTCCCTAAACTGTCAAATCTTCATTAAAACGAAGCTGATTTGTCTAGGGAGGTGTGCCAAGTATAACTATAAATAGCAACATCGAAAACGATACGAAGATTCGGCAAAAGTTATAAATACATATATATTTATCTCGGTTCTTCCCTGTTTACCGACTTAGTGAACATTGAAAAAACGACTTCCCAATTCTGTAACCGACTTCAAGATTTCAATAAAAATCTCATTTTCTGTAATTTTTATTGTGATTTTTATATTAATTACGTTGATTAAACCCGTTTATCAACAATAAGTTCGAGCTTTTTAAAAAAAACTCGTCCTACCAAACGAGGCTTATTTGAATAGTGGAAGCTTATAAGCTAACCAAATAAGCTATAAGCTAGCTTATTTGACTTACCAAACACAGCCTTACGTGGAAATTTTTTGCGTGATTTGAGACGTCTCGCTTGTCTCAACACGACATGTGTCTTTGGCGCCAAATTCCGCAAACAGATGAGCAAATGAAGTTTGTTTTGGATTTTTGTTGGATTCGTTCATGGCCATGGTTAAGTCTTGGTGTTGGAAGTGTTGTGTTTCT